ACTGTAGAGAGTCTAAAGATAAAAGAGAAAACCTGTTGAATTCAGAGGCGCAAAATAATCATTTCCATTTTTTGCTACTTTATGCATTAAATATTGTACCCATGATTCCTAGTTGACCAGTAGTAGTAAATATTCTAAACCTATGACATTTGTACAAATTCGTCACTTAGCAGACTAGCCTGTCAGTACCACAATACCCTGGCACACAGGTGTGGTGGCTGCAGATGGCAAACCGTGGGTTTATCAGAGCTTTTTAAAGCTGGAAACAGCTGCTTGATGCAGCTGGAAATGGTGTCAATGAGACTGAATCAAAACAGTGTAGCTGGGTGATATACTTCTAAAACAATGACCCGAAAAAAACTAAAATGCTGAATTCACCCTCAGTGATTGTCAGTGTCTTTGCTATGAGCAACTGCTTTTACAGCACACAGTCATTTGATCTGTTAAAAGTTTGGCTGAGAATAATGTCTCATATTTATGAATTATTTCAAACTTTAAATTAAAATCTACAACATCTAGCGTCTATTATTTAACCTCCGATTGTGTGTTTCACAGTTAATCAACCACTGTTTATATTGTTTCCCACAGAGCATCTAAAGTTTACCTTCCTATTGGCAGAACACTAATGTCACCTCCTCTCTTTGTTTTCCTTCACCCTCACCTTTCCTACCTCCTAACATACGTCAATACTTTACTGTAAAATATTCTGAGCAAGGCACTCCTTTAAGGTATTCCAGGAGCAAAGCCCATATGAACACTGGGTAAATAATCATGTATTTTAAACTTGAACTTTCCTTATCTAAATTCTGCAGTCTTGTGAACTATTGACAAACAGATTATTGCCAATTAGCAGTTTTGTGATGTGTCCTGTTGTACATAAAGAATTGAGAGGATCGATAGCTGAGACAACTAACAAGGCAGGTAGTGCTTTTTTTCAATGGTCTAAGAATTCAAGGTTTGTGACCTACTTTTTGGCACACCTCCAACACATACATATATTTTTTAACTGATTTGTCATGTTATAGTCATATAATCATTTAAACTTAATTTCAGAAATCAATCCTAGATAAGATAGAAGACAGAAATTCGTAGATAAGCAGAATAAAATTGCAGACAAACTTTACCTCATGTTTTAAGGGGATTACACGTTAAGCTTTATTGACTCTTCTCTATAACTGGAACACCTTTAACACCTGCTGCTATTTTAGTTAAATATATTATATATTCTATGATCTACTGTATGTTGTTATAAAGACATTTCATGCTCAGGCCTGGTGGCCCGTGTCGTCTGCTGCTTAAAACACCAGCATGATACTTATTCACAAACACCAAAACTCTGTTTGTAGTTAATAACGACAATGATACATTTAAAAAACACCTTAAAAGACACAAATCTACATGCTGTTGAGTATATTTTATTTGTTATATATACTACACGCTTGAGCAAATCCCCCATGGTCACTGCAGAGGTCCAGGCAACCCATCCATCAGTGGGTTCCTCCTGATGTTGCAATACTGTGATACAGAATAATAAAGAAGTACGAAAGACCAGAAAATCAATAGATTATTCTGCAGATCACTTGATTCAGTAATGATCCAGTCCATTTATCGCCAGCCACTGATTCATAAGGCCTGCTCTCAAGGGCGTAGCCGCCCCACCTATGCCCTGCTGACTCCTTTGCCATTGGTAATTATAAAACATTAAAAGCTAATCACATGAGAGTCCAAGGTTAGAAAAGACGTACAGTCTGTTATAAGTAAATGGTTCCTTTCATTGTGCAACAGCTGTTGGTCAAGAAATAGCTCTGACACAGAACTGCTCCTTAAACACAATGTCTCAACTTTGCATTTTTGCTGTAAAAAAGGACATTTAGTGTAAATAAGTGAAAGTAGGGCGTTTTGAATAGAGCAAAATGAATCGTCATGGCCACACTGGCATGTGATATCACATCCCATTGTATCATCATGTTCATTTTTGCAGAAATTTCTAAGATAGTCATAATTGTAGCTCCTATAATAAAGTGGTTTTAAAAGAAAATTCTGCAATCTAACCACATACCAGCTTTTCAAGACTGAATTATGTAGTTAAATACAGAAAAAAGAGAGCAGTTGGCCCAGAGGCATGTGTGCTTGTCTTCAGTATCAGCCCAAATACCTGTTTTATGTTCATCAAAACAAGCTCAAGTTTCACTCTGTAGGTAAGTGATACTGTAGTTTTGTCAGCAATAAGCAGTTAAATAAGGGTATGACATGTCTGTGCGGATTTTCACATATCAAGTGTGAGAAACAGTGAACTAAGCTTCTGTTTTATGTTTGTGGGGAAACAGACATGTTGATCAATGAAGAGGACACGTGCCCTCCACCAGCCTCCAAACCGTCCACTGGCAGGTGCCTGATCAAGGGCAACTTATTTTCAGTCACATTGCATGAGGGGGCCGATGAACTGGCATTCACCTTAATTAAATAAAGACATGTACAAATGTCCTTTAGCAGGTGGCTGTCTTATGGAAGTTAGCAGTGGTGGCAGCTGCCTATGTATGGTAAACAGGGAGCATTTTTGAAAAGTGATGGTGGCTGGCGAGGGAGGCGGGGATGAGGGGGGAGATTGGACAGCTGTCACCGTACCCACCTCACTGTGCTGACTTAGACCTAACGCTCGATCGAGCCTTTGTATATATTTTTTCAGCACATT